ACAAAGGAGCATATCACATACAACTACAGAAATAGAGGCATAAACCAAAAACATATTTATTTTAACATTCACTGACATTCACAGACAGAAACTATGGGGAAATCGGTAAGGTTCAAATAGTCTGACAGATCTAAAAAAAATATGAAACTCTATGCAAAAAACTTCTTTTTTGTGAAATTACATTTCACCCATTTAAAACTGTTTGATGTCAGATGAAGTGCAGATGAAGAGTTTGCATAATTGCCCGCTGGATTTAGGAGGCAAAATAACCTGCACTGATACACACACCCCCATGTCAGCAGCCTTTCTTTGCATAGTTCGCTGCAACATTTTCTGGGTTACACTTGACTCTCAAGCTTCCTCTTTTGCTTGCTTGTGTGTGTATGTGTGTGTGTGTGTGCAGGGCAGGACCAGAACCAGACATATGTTTTCATTTATTTAACACAACCATATCCATTATAACCAACAGAAATCACTGTTATTATCTGGTGCTAGGAAAGTTGTGAACAAGAAGTAGTGATACAAACTATGCTGCAACACTTTAAACAACCACATATTATAAATGGAAATGATTTTTGTATACATGATAAAGTTTCTTCACCAGAAGGTTCAACTGAGAGTATTGTATATCAGGCAGGAATGTAATATAGTCAAGGAATTTGAATTGAACATTTCAATTTGTTAAATTTCCCCACCACTGCCATAGAAAAAAAATGTAAAGGTGCTAGACGGGAACACCACTTTTGAGTCAGAATGAGTCCATAAATCAGTTTTATGCAAATATAATTGCTAAAGCTTGGTAGGCATTAACGCTCCCATGAATTACAAACTCTGTAAACTCTATTCTGCATCCAAGGACCATCTACTATCTTAAAACGAAAACAACAAAAAAACAACAGCAAGAAACCCAACTATGATTCATGCCAAAGTGCTGTAGAACTCATAAAATCCGTCCAGAATTTTGTGGAAGATGGAAAAACAAGTTGAACGCAGTAAAGCCAGTTAAGTTTGCAATTACTGTGTCTGAAGGAAAGGGAAATAAAACTGCAGTAGGTTGCTGGGCCAATGACAGAAAATGATGAAAGAAGAATACATAAATTGACATTTTTATTATTACAGTGAATGAAAACTTATGTTGTCAGAAACTCTCAGGTCAAGAATTCCAGTTGTTTAAGCTGTCAGTCAGGCTAACTCGACCTGTTAGCCTACTTCTTTGAGCATACGTGGCCTGTGGCTGCCTTCACCATGAACAGCCATTAGGAAGCATCAATAGACTGAAAAGCTATAAATAAATTTAGACTTAAGGCATTACACTGACATTTAAAAATGACTTGTTCACACAAGAATGGCAACGCCAGAATAAATTCCAGTTTCCAGATTCAGTCATGACTTGCTGTTAAAGTTTGTTTCTGTGGCGAACGTGCATATTATTTCACTGGACTGGGTCAAAAGGTTTTGTTCTAGTATGTAAGCGAGTATTTGGCATTCAGGTCAACAGGTAAAAGCCAGAGCAAGAGAGACAGTGAGAGAGAGTACAATAAATCAGTTGTTCTGACAGTCAGTGGCATTTTTAAGCCTAAACAAGAAAGGGGCAAAGGTGTGTGTCTGTATGTATTTACTGAAGGAATTCTTGGCCTACATGCCAAGGTGTTTGACTGCACACTTTTCTGGACAATGTTTTGTTCAATCAATCTTTTCCAAATCACATTCACATGACCTTTGTGCTTCTAATTTAATATATGATTATTCATAAATGCATGGACAAAAGTGAAAAAACAATAAAGACACAGTTATACATTAAATGCAATATTAATTGCATTCACCACTCGACTGGTGGCATGCATGTAAGATAGAGCATACAGTGTATTCATTTAATGCATGCAATGATGTTTTGGATACATTCCAAAAGTGTTTTGCTCAGTCCTGACTCATTGTCATGTTGCTGTGGCAACCTTGCATTTTGTTTCAGTGCATTAAGCAAAGTACAGGATGAACTCTGTGCAGCACACAGGCAAAGGATTACCACACCAAGTCAGTTCAGGAATCACAGTTGTGATTGAATGGTGTGTTCTGTATTCACACACATGGGCTCATTCATGTTCTGCTACAACACTGAACTCCTGATGGTCATGTGAAAACCCAAAACAAGAAGCTCATGACCTAAATTGCATCCTTGCCTACTGCTAAACATGTGCTGGAGTATGTGAAAGTTGCAGGTATGAAAACATACTTCAATTTATCATTTCAGGAGTGTTTACTGATTGTGTTGCAGCAATATTGAGCAAATTATCTTGCAGTTAACAATGGAAACTTAGATCACAGCTATATTTGATAAGAAACAATATTTGTATAAATTAGTCCACAACTCCCTATTAGAAAAAGTTGGGATGGTATGTAAAATGAACATTAAAAATGAACATAGAGATTTGTCAATCATCTGTGTCCTGTACTACATTGAAAACAATACAACAACACATTATTTGATGTGATACCTTATTAATTTTATTCTTTGTTCAAAATAAACACTCACTTCAATTCTGATGCCTGCATCACACTCCAAATATATTGGGAAAGTAAAGCATTTACAAGACATTTAGGGACTGAGGACATGAAGTGATTAGGTGTGTCAGGTGTAATTTTCTCCCATTCTTCCTGCAAATAAGTCTTAAGGTGTACAACAGTCCTGGGTCTTTGTTCATTCGTGCCATACATTCTCTACTGGGGACAGGTAGGGACTGCAGGCAGGCCAGTCCAGCACTCACACCCTTTCCTCCACAGCCAGACCTTGGTAATGTGCAGTATGAGGTTTTGCATTGTCTTGTTGTAATATGCATGGGTGTTCCTGGAAAAAATGTTGTCTTGAAGGCAGCATATGTTGCTCCTAAATCTCTGTCTATTGTTCAGCTTTAACGGTGCCATCACAGAAATGTACCTTACCTTTGCCAAGGGCACTGACACAACCCCACACCATGACAGACCCTGGCTTTTGGACTTATTGCTGAATGGTGCTTTTCATCTTTTGTCCGGAGCACACAGCTTCCATTCTTTCCAAAAAAGGCCTGAAATACTGATTTGTCTGACCACAGTACACGTTTCCTCTGTGTGATGGTCAATCCCAGATGCCTCTAAGTTCCAAAGCTGTCGACTGCGCTTCTGGACAATACTGACATAGGGCTTCCTTTTGGCATAGTGCAATTTTAGGTAGCATTTATGGATGTAAATACATACTGTAGTGCCTGAAATAGGGGTGCCAAAGTAATCATGAGCCCATGTGCTTATATCGCTCATAGAAGAGATTCTTGTTGCAGTGCCATCTGAGGGATTGGAGAGCACAGTCCAGCTTAGGCTTGCGCCCTTACCCTTTACGCCACATGTGTCAAACTCACATCCGGCGAGATCATTTTATATAATCATTTTTTTAATGGCCCGGCGATATGAAGCATCGATAACACACAAACTACAAATCCCATAATGCAGAGCAACAGCTGCCTTACCGAACGATAGGCTACCTGTGATCATTCCTGTATCAATCAAGCGTCTGTTGATGTATACAACCCTAATTTCAAGTCAAAGCTAGCCCCTAACAATGGCCAAGAGAAAAGTTGATTCTGAAAACAGAGCCTTTCTAAACCGGTGGGAGGCTGAGTATATGTTTACTGACATTGTCGGTAAACCTGTGTCTTATTTGTGGAGCTAATGTGGCTGTAATTAAGGAATATAACCTAAGACGGCACTACGAGACAAAAGAAAATCAGCCCGGACATTTACCGAGGGAGAGTTTCTGAAGAGCTGCATGATGAAAGTGTGAGACGTCTGGTGTCCAGACAAAAAGTAGGTGTTTGTAAATGTAAACCTTAGCAGAAATATGGCTGCTGGTTTGAAGTTCAAGTTTATTTCGGAATGTGTTGCAGGCATCAGAATTGAAATAAGTGGTTATTTTGAACAAAGAATAAAATTGATGAGGTATCACATTAAATAATGTGCTGTATTGTTTTCAGTGTAATACAGGACACAAGTCCAAATCATTATGTCCATTCAAAATTTTGATGTTACATACCGTTCCCACTTATTCTGATCAGGTTTACAGCCCATCCAGATTTTTCCCCCTTTTTGTTCTTTCTTTTTCTTTCTCGGTCTCTTCTTTGCATTTTTACAATGGTCATTTTTGAAGTGCTAGAATAAAATAGAATGTCCACATACACAAATGCACTGATTATGAAATGTTAGAAAAGTTGGCTAGACCAGAACACAAAATAAAGCACGATGAACGGCATGTGTTGGTCCACACTGCAGCTGTCTGGCCACGATACTGGAGTTTGACTCTGGCTGATGTTCCAGTTTTACCTGTCAAAATAAAATGATCATTCTTGGCTTGCAACATATTGTTCAGGAGTGTGGATTGACAATTTGCAACTTAAGTGAAAAATATTTGTTATGCAACTAAACGGGCAGTTAGTAAATGAATATATTTTACATATAGCTTATTCAACAAGTTTATATCGATGAGTCTGGCATAGAGAGATTATTAGGTCATTAGATGCATGGCATCTGTTTTTAACATATCAGTTTTAATCAAAATATTTAAATTATTACTTAAAACAATTAAGTTTTATACAGTGAATGATCTTTTGCTCAGTAATGTATCATGGTCCTTTATATAGTACAGAACAGGTTAGTTTGTAATTGTAGGACAATAGGTAAGGTAAAACAAACATAATACAGCCCACCCCGTCCTAATATTTTAGTCAGTGTGAAAACAAATTATCTGCTGGTTAAAAGAGAAGAAGGAAAACAAGAAGAAGAAAACTAAATTAAAAACCTGGGTTTAAAAATACAACCTACAAAACCGCATCAGTAGGTCACCGAACACTTAGAAGCTTGCAGCTGATGCTCCGGGCCAGAGAAAAGATTATATATATCTACTCTTCTTCACAAGTAACAGCTGGGTCACAGCTGGAGGTTGTGATAGAAGCACGCTGGCTTTATTTTGAAAGAGCAGCTCTTTTCCTGTATCCTCTGTGAAAGCCCAGCCGTCGCCTTGTCGAGTCATCGCTTAGAGAGGAGCTCAGAGCAGAGGAAGGAGCTACTGTCTTACCCGTGGCTTGAAAATGAGTAATAACTGTGAACCGCAGCGGATTTATTGCACCATACAAAGCACTGGGAGCGAAACGGCGGTTGCAGGAGCGGACTGGATTGTGATACGGAGGAGCACATAGGATGTTTGAGTGAGGTTGTTGCATTTCTGAAGCGTTTTGCAGATCCGGACACAAACAACACAGGAGACAGACCGAGAGAAGTACCGGAGCCGCCACGACACCAGCGGACGAACTTGGCTTCTCTGCCCTCTGTGGGGCGTCTGTCTGTCGGCTGTGACTCGCTGAACGTTCCGCTCCCAAAGTCGTTGCTCGGACGCTTTAAGAAGACTAAGGCTGTAGATGAGTTATGTTTTTGTAAATATCGTCTTTTTCGGGGTTTTTCAGCAACCAACTGTGGCTTTAATGTGACGCACTACACTGACATTTGCATCGGAGCGGACCCCCACTGCAGAGGACCTGAAGGCTTTTTAATCAAGTTTTTACCTTCATATTTCCACGATACTAATCCAGCACACACGGATGCAGTAGGTAACAGCACGTTTTGTTAATACTGTAGAACTTTATCAAAACCATTCCTGC